TTGGTTGGATTAATAGGTATAAATTACCTTCACTGATATTCCTGTTTAGACAAATATATCATAAGATACTCATATAGGTGTAAAAGCAAAATAACCCTGTATAGTGGAGTTTAACTCTGTGGGAATGTCCTACGCAAGAGAGTACTTTTAACACTTCCATGATAACTCAGCTCAAAACATCTAAAAATTCATCGAAGAATTTCAGGCACGAGGTAATTCAAGCACATGTCGAAGCTCCACAAATACATTGCCATGAATTCTAAATCTGCTCGAGTTGACAAAAATAGCGCAAAATCGATTTTGATACGAGATTGCATCGCTGAGCGACGCGAAGATGAATTTCCTGATCGACTGAATTGATTCACTTGGAAATTGACTGAACAGGTGGAAAGATTGTGTTACTGACACATTTTAGTATACAACATTACAATATGATTTCTATAATAATTATTGTGAGATATACTAAATTAACTAACTCACGTGAATATACTGAGAAAAGTTCTACTAGTTTCGAACCACAGAGGGGTTCTTCCTCACGAGGCTGGGCGACATCGCCGCGACGCTGCGCACGCAGCTTATTAGGAAGAACCCCTCTGTGGTTCGAAACTAGTAGAGCTTTTCTCAAAGGTTCTTAGTTAATATGATTTCTCTTAGGTTTTTAGTTAATATGATTTTTGATTATACATAATAAATATGATTGTATATAGTTTTATTAGGATGGCAGTTAATAAAGGACAGACTTGCCAGGCTAGGCTTTATTAATACTGAACAATATCGGAGTACGAGTATGATGTTCTATTTTTGGAGATTTCGAAATTTTTAGTAATCGTCGTGCATCTTGATTTGTTTAGTGCCTATCATATCGTACGTATGATCCTTTTTACCGACCTCAAAAAAAGGAGGAGGTTTTGGCGGGAGGGTATGGCGCCGACTTCTAACCTATCAGAGGGTGGGTAACCTATCAGTACTACTAATAGTTATTTTTTTATTTATTAGATTTGACTTTTTGTCTGTTATTAGTTTTTGCTTTTTTGAAGTCGGTTTTTTACTTTGTCTCATTCACGTTTCGGAGTTCATTGCTTCGGTTCTGTTTTTGGTTGGTCTTTAGTGTATGTGCTGGTTAAACGAGGTTGTAGGTTTAACAATATTGTCTTTCAGCTGGTTTCAACTGTGGATATTGGCGTACATAAGTTGCTGTAACTAAAATCTGTACGAAACATTTCCTAAATAAAAATAACCGCTTATGTAATAGTAAAAATATATACACTCAAGGTTCTCACCTATAAAACTCCAGAACCCCTCTATCCAGGTCAATACATGAGCCGATGACGTCACCAGGCAACCACGCCTGCCCGTAAGGCGAGGTGGCCACGTTCCACTTCCTGACTCTGCCTCCATCGTAGGCGTAGGAGTGTGCTGTGTCTCCGACTCCTGTGTCCATTGAGAAGATGCAGGAGGCTGTGCACCAGCCGATCTAGAAAAGAATAACGAAGTTAAAATAAAGAAAAGTCAAAGTAACATAACAACGCCTTTATTCCCCGAAGGGGAAGGCAGAGTTATACAAAAATTGTAAAAAAATGTTATTTTGGTATGTACATATATCGTATGTATTTATATGCATGTAGTTAATTAATATTACAAACAGACACTCCAATTTTGATATTATGAGTCTGGGCGTGATTATGTCACTGTGTTGTAATGTTAATGCAAGTGTGAATTTGTATGCTTGCACTTAGAACACGGGAGAAAATCCTAGAGGCAACGTTATTTTTATCAACGTCAAATTCAAAGTCAAAGTTTAAATCATTTATTTTAATTAGACCAGAAAGGCACATTTAAACGCCAACAAGAAGTTTTAAGTGAAGCTATTGCTCATTTCAAGGTGTAGTTAGATTCCTATGGAAAAGAACGAGCAAGAAACTCCATAGGTTACTCTGTTTCAATCAGGTTTACAATACAATTCTCTAGTTACATAGCTTTGTTAGTTTGATAGTGCGAGAACAATGTAACACTAAAATCCAGTATTGCCAGGATTGTCAGTACGCATATGTGAGAACCATGTTAGACTAAGATTAATTTTTTTGTTTTGTTTCATTTTTATTTTTAGTAAGTTTTGTAATTAGTATAATGCATTAAGCGTGCCTTTGCATTGTTCTCACATATTCGTACAATATTGGAATATGTATCAGCGACATTGTAGAACATTTATTTTTAAAAAGAGTAACAAATAGAGTTTCTTGCTCGTTCTTCTCCATTCGAATCTACATTTTGGAATGAGCACATAGTTTCACCTAGCTTCATTGACAGACTGACTGACAGACTATTATTTATTTTGTATTTGTTGACGTTTTAAAAGTACCAAATTATGGTTTAATTGAAATAAATGCTTTGACTTTTTTGACCAGTCAAAGAGATCGAAAAAAAAGCTTACAAGACAGTAAATAATACAGACTCACTTCCCTTCCATCGACTCTCACCTGCATTATACCCTTAGTTCCAAGTTGCACCTCATACATCCATTTGCCTCCGTAGATGCAAGCCGTGGCTCTGATCGTGGCGAAGCTTGACAGACCCTGGACGCTCACCCTCTCATCACCTACTAGGACTAACCGGCCAGTACCTTGAAATTAAAAAAATTGTGATGGGTACGTTCATACCTTGTCATATTGTAGTCAATCTTAAATTTCTACTACATGTTGTCCGCGACTTTATCCGTGCTTTTTTTTTAAGGAGGGAAGATCATCTAATGACTGCTCCCGCCTGGGTGAGGCGGGAGGGAGTGTCAGACTCTTACTGACTAAAAACCACCCCGTTTCTTCTCCTGCACGTCGAGCTGGAGCCCCGGTAACCCGTTAGGTTCTCCGCGACGACTTCATCCGGGTACAATATGAATTTTAGAACATAACTACTTTTTTGTTTCATATTTTCGAAATTAAACTGTCAAACACCAAGCGGTCACCGGTGACCGCAACCTATTGTTCTATAATTGTGTCTATAATGACGGTACTCGACGAGTTAAAGTACTCCTTAGTACATCAGCTACCTGCCAATAACAGTGTTGTAAAATCGGTAACGCCATTCCAGAGATTAGCCCGTACAAACAGACAGACAGACAGACAAAAATTGTAAAAAATGTTATTTTAGTATGTGTAGGTATCGTATGCGTAAAAGCGGTTATTTGAATAATACAAACAGACACTCCAATTTTATTTATATGTATAGATGTATAGATTACGATCTGCCTTAAACGGACCAGCCAATCGAGCTGAACAAATAAAGCTAACAATAGCTTTAGGAATATTTTTTGTTCAGGGTTAGATTTTAGATTCAGCTGGCAACAAAATCGTCAGCGCCCTTTGTCGGATTTTAAGATGAAGCTTACTCCGATTAACGGAGCAATCAATATTAGTACTTACGAAACTTAATGAGGAGTTAAAGGACGATGATAAAGGTTGACCAACAGAGAACATGCAGCTATAAAACTATGATATAAGTGTATATGTATACACACGTAAAGAAAAACAAAATCCCAATCAAAAATAAAACAAGAGCCCACCGCTCCAAATTTTCCAAAACAACCAACGACAGCCGCATTTCTGTGTAATTGGGATGATGACAGGGTATGAAAATTAAAAAAAATCAAATTATTCCGTAAGTTAGGTAATGAAAAAATATTCGTCGTCTAATAAAACAATGCTTAGATAAAACGAATCAAAGTTTAGGAGTGGGGGCTATAACGTCATATCTACGTACAAAATGTACATAGAAGTGACGTCACACGATATTTCAAATCAACATAATCGTCGATAGTATTAGTTTCTGTAAGAAAATAAAAAATACGTGTCTAATGATTTAAAATAATCTACCAGACGGACATTAAAATAAAAATTAGGCATGTACCCTATTAGTAAACTGTCTGGAAAACATTCTGCCTGTACTAATTAGACCAATTACTCTTGTATTGTGGTGTCGCTTTGTGACAGTTTAGTCAGTGGCGCCACAACAAACGGGCTTTTGATGACATTCCTAGGCGGGAAATGGCGGCCAGCCGACGCATACTAAGTGGGGACTAATGAGAGGTTTATTTGGAGCTAGTAAAATATGGGATGTATATTTATGAGTACTTCTAAAAGACGAATATTGAAAAGAAAGTTACAAATTATTGATGTTAATATTTTTTATGGGATAAGCCGGTCATCGAGCATACGGATCACCTGATAGTAAGCAATCAGTGTAGCCCATGGACACTCGAAACACTTCAACAACGACGACACATGGACGTCTTTGGGGAATTGGGAATTTGACGTGGGGGATTCGGAGATTGGGGAGATTGGGCCGGGGGGTGGGGGTAATTGGGCCTCCGGTAACCTCATTCACATGACGAACAACAACGCAAGCGTTGTTCCACGTCGGTTTTCTGTGAGGCCGTGGTATCACTCCGGTCGAGCCGGCCCATTCGTGCCGAAGCCTGACTTTTCCACACAAACTTAAAATGACATTAAGCCTACTCTAGATGCCTTTTGCATGTTCAAAAGTTGTCCGTTTTAAAAAAATGTGAGCACTGCGCGTACTTTACAATTTCAGACTCCAAGCTTTAACTGAGAATTACGAAACCCAACAATCTTGGATTTAAACTCACCCGGAAATAGAACCCCGGTCGTAATCGTCCGTCTCAACGGTTACTATAAAGTCTTATGTTGCTTATTGTACAAACAAAACTAATTTACTGAATTAATGTAAGCAAACTTACCAGTGGAAGCATCAAACACCACGATTTTTGGTCCAATCCTCCCAAATCTATCGTCTGTCGAGTCAGTAGTCTGAAATTAAAAATATTTATTAAAAAAAAAATATATAAAACTCTTTGAACCAAATTATAAAGTGCAGTTTTATTCTGATGTCTAAATTTTTAATTGCATTGCATTGGTTTCCAAACGGGTACATGGTTGGTAGACGGAGAGATATCCAGCTTGGCAATAAATAGTTCGATATTCGCGAGTTTTCGTTTTGTCTGGTAGATGGCGTTACACTATATATTAACAGTACTAATGATTGTTAGTTATTTTTTCTTTTTAGTTTATCCTTTTTTTTGTTATATAGATTGTCATAAGTTTTTGTAACAACTAAAACACTTTTAATTTTGTGGGTTATAATGATATTTTTAACATTTGCATAGCAAAAATCTGGAGATCATGAACAATTTGATACATACAGCTGAGCTACTGTAACGAAGTAAAGAAATTATTCATTTTTCGAAAAATACCGAAGCCGGCCATTTTTTGAGAATTAGTTTTGTTACATTTTGTTTGCGCGGTCGCGGATAGAAAGTAGGTCAGGTTGTTTTTTTATTTTTTAATCTGTGGTGCGGCAGAATACACTCTGGATACTAGTCCTTTGAGCTTTAGCTGAGCACTTTGTTTGACGCTACGTTGTGTATAGATTGTAACCAAATATTTTTTTTAACACACGGCGATAAAGTTGAAAATCCTATGAAAGTTTGAGAGCTTTAACATCACATCTACTATTCCTCAAAAACGTATAGGTACAGAGGAGCAAAATTTCAATACAAAACCTACTTTTCGCCACTAGACAAATACAATTTCAACTTAATATTTACGTAATAAAGTTTAAAATATCACATAATAGTACACACGGTTACATAATCAAGCTATACAAAACCAGTTAATCATGGTCTCGTATTGTATGATCTCTACCAACATTCAAAGGTCAGATTATACTGGTTCTGCATAGTTTGTTGTGGAGCGGTACAATATCTTACGTCTGAAACAGGCGGGGCATGTTTCTTGGTCTTAGTCTTATGGTTCATGACCTTCGCGTCCAGCATCTTTGGCAGATTCTCACGGATATGAGTCACGTACTTGCTCCTTCTGTAAAAGATAAATTCTATAAGCACACATTACACCCATACTAACAACGACAATTTATAAACCTTACAAAGAAGTTGTACCGTTTGGGAATCGAACCCAAAAGGGCGAAGGTGTCGTACTTTGCTAGTGCAAAGTTTGGACTGTAGTCAGTCCAAAGGGGCTCAGGCTCGACGTGCAGGAGAAGGAACGGGGTGGTTTTTAGTCAGTAAGAGACTGACACTCCCTCCCGCCTCATCCAGGCGGGAGCAGTCACTCGATGAATTTCCGCCCTTAAAAAAAAGTCAGTCCAAACAAATAAAACATTCCGCCCAAAGCACACTACATTGTACAATATTCTTCTGCAAAGCGGTATATTAAAAAAAAAAACTCATTCAATCTATGGTATAAAAATGTCATCAATACTTTTTTTTTAATACCCGCAACTTTAGTTTATACTCGAGCGCTTGGAACAAAGTGCGTGCGTTGCGAATTTATTTTAATTATTTTAATAACTTAATTAAAAATTATTGTGTAATTAGTTTAGTATTCAGTATTTTATGTTCAGTGAGTTGTGTCAGTGTTAGTATTATGTTGAAATACTCAAAAGCCACACAATTTGAAGTCGCGCTTAAGTATAATTGCTCTGTCTCTACAAATTCTATGTAAAATGACAGAGACAGGATGATATTTAACTACGACTTGTAATTGAGTAGATTTTCAGTATTTGGGCGATAGTGTTTTGCTGAACAAGCCATTTGGAGATAAATATGTAAGTACTGTGTTTTATTTTTATTCGAATGAGACTTAGCTAGCTTCACCTAGCTTCACTGACGGACTGACTGACAGACTATTATTTATTTTGTATTTGTTGACGGTTCAAAAGTACTAAACTATGGGTACTAACTATACTATATATATTTTAATTGAAATAAATGCTTTGACTTTGACTTTGACTTTGACTTGTTATAAAATCGACCAGTGGACGCCTACGGCCTTTTATTGATGATGTGTTAGACGAATCGAATTTTGGTGATAAAGTTAGAAGGCTCAAAAGTGATATAGGCCACTTTTTCCCTTTCATCACGCGGGTAAAGCCGGGAGTAGAATGCTTGTTTATTCTATAATGAAAGTGTACAACGAAGAAAATAGCCTCGTGTGCAAAATTACAGACAACAGCTACTAGCATTTGCGATCCACCCTCGTGTCAGTGTGTAGCCACCAGACCAAAACAATTTCAACTTAATATCTACGTATTAAAGTATAAAATCTAATAGAATAGTATACACGGTTACATATCGAGTTAAATAAAACCGGTTTATCATGGTCTAGCTTTGTGTGATCTTATCGTACATTCGACGGTCAAAATATACTGGGCAACGTAGCTTGTGGCCGTGTGTACGTCCTTCTGTACCAAAATTGTATGTATGTGTGTGTCTGAGAAAATTCCAAAGTTAACTACAATAGATTGTCGACTGTGTTAAGAGACAGTAGAGTTGAAATTCTATTTAAGTACTTTAATGATAAGTTCTTCACAAAAACGCGTTTTTAAATTTATTGTTGAGCGATTCTTATTTTGAAATTTTTCGAGAATCCATATTTAAATTCTTAACTTCTTTTTTATGGCATAACGAGTTCAACGAGCAGAAGGATTTATTCCATAGTAAAACCAAAGATCTTTGGGTGGATTGGGCCTCTGCTAACTTCATTCACACGACGAAACATAACGCAAGCATTGTTAATTCACGTTGGTTATATCAAATTCAAAATTCTATCTCTAGTAGTCAAATCATCAGGGCGCGTGAGGGAACGAATCTCCTCACGCCCCAGCTGTCGTGGGAGACATTACGGGCGTTGGACATCACGCGACAAAATTACTATCCGGGCATAGTAAGCTCGCCGCCCGATCAGAACCAGACCCGTGCATACGGTGCGTCGCGTTCCGCGCGCGCCTCAAAGAGCCAACAGACCACCACAGAACGGGCCCAATAGGGCTGATGCCCGATACGGAAGGCCTAACGCGTTCCTTGGGCTCCGGCTCGAAGAGCTGGAGTAGGAATAGGTTTTTAGTCAGTAAGAGTCTGACACTCCCTCTAGCCTAACCCAAGGCGTCAAATCATTGTATGACTTCCTCTCTCAAAAAAAGCAATCAAATCATCGCGCAGGATAAAATGATAAGTCTGGTATTTTACAGGCAAAGTCACGAGTGTAGTCTAGTTATAAAATAACTGCACACTGCGTATGTATAATATGAGTGACAGCTGACATTTGTTATTTAGTTCTCAAGACCGGGTGTCTTATTGAACATTCCACTACCTACTTAATAATATAAGTGCGAAAGTTTGTGAGGATATAAGGTATGTGTGTGTGTGTTTCACGTCAAAACAACTGAAGGGATCGAAATGAAATTTGGAACAGAGGAAGATTATGATCTATTTGAGGTGGAAAATCGTCCAATGACTTCTTCCGCCATAGAATAAAATAATTTCGACACAGTAACAAACTCTTTTTTCTAAGTGAAAAGTAGGAGGAGCTACTTCAATCTCTTTTCTCTCTCTCTATCACTATAGTAAATACGATGTACACAATTTTTTTTAAGTAGACTACGTTAGGTGAATATTTCTGAGCGACGGAATGTTACTGAACGTGTCGCGTGTTCCATTGCCGCACGGAAAGGATTTTTGTATGATCTACATTTTGTTGTTTTGTGTTTATGTGTACTGTCCATATGAATGTGCACCCTAGATATAGAAGAAAATTCTACTCTGTAATCAATGTAATACGTCTATTCTTGCTTATTTATATTCTCTTCTTGACTTAACATCATGCCTTTTATCTCCGAAGGAGTAGGCAGAGGTGCACATTACACAATGGCACTTTAATGCCATTGCAAAATGTAAAACCCACTTTTCACTATTTATGTTATGAGTCCCATGTAATAGGGGGTGAGCCTATTGCCATATACCGGGCATAATGCCAGACTCCGTGCTACTACTGAGATTTTTTTTTAAGACCCAGTAATACTTTGCTCGACCAGGGAATTGAACCCTTGCTCAGCAATCGCACTTGCAACCACACAGCCAACGAGGCAGTCTCTACTAATATCATAAAAGCAAATCATTTGGTACTTACTGAAAATGCCTGTCAGTATTATCCTTCATCACCATCTCATTGCCGAAGACCCTTCTGATGGTGTCGTGGACCTCGCCCTTCTCAGCTGAACTGCTGCAGACACCAAACATAGACCGGAGTACGTTCATCATTGGAGATTACCACAATAGGTCTCCTTACTCTTCAAAATGTCACCTGGTCAAGAGATGTGTGCTAACACCAGTGCCTTTAAAGGCGTGAATATATGGAGAAGACGGTGTGTATGGGATCTAAGCCTTCGTGGTTAAAGGCTATTGGACTAATCATTTAGTTCTATATAGGAAATACTAGCTTTTACCTTCGGCTTCGCTCGCGTCCCAAAAGGATAAAAAGCCAATGTGACATATACCAATACACACAGCGCCATCTATACCAATACCTTTGTTTTCCGTCGGGAATATCAAATTTTTCCGGGATAAAAAGTACCCTATTATTTAATCCGAACTTCTAACTATACATCTCCAAAAATTCAAAGCAATCGGTTTAGTAGTTACGGCGTGAAAGCGGAACAAATAAACTCACTTTCAGATTTATAATATTAGTAAGGACTTGTAAGGATATAACAGGACAAAAGTTTGTGTGCAAATCTAGTCATGCACATTGCATTCGACTCGTCATACAGTCTTGTCCACATGTTATACAAGTATGCAACTGTCATAATCATGATCATCAACAGCCCAAAGTCCCCACTGATGACCAAAGGCCTCTCATCTCACACGGAGAAGGTTTGAGCATTAATCACCACGCTTGCTCAATGCGGTTTGGCGATTTCAAACTTATAATTAGACATTACGAGTATAAGCCCAGGTTTCCTCACGATGTTTTCCTTCACCGTTTGTCAGTGGTGTCTAAATAATCTTAGAGACTACATATAACTCGGGAGAAGTGTGTAACTGTGCACTCATCAATATATGATCGGAGAACTATATAAGTGCCTAATTAAAACGTAGGATTAAAATTTGTTCAACGTCATCATCATCACCAGTTTAGCCACATGGTCATTATACATTTACTGTAACACACTCAACATCACATCAGCCTTAGGACATCCATTGCTCAACATATGACTCCGCTAATGACTTCCACTTCGGCTGGTTGGAAGTAACTTGCATCCAGCGGTTCCCTACGGCTTCTTTTGCATTCATTCATAAGTATTTGATTGTGTAGCAAATTATAATGAACTAGCTACTTCCACGCGGCTTAATCCGCTGCTCCTATTGATCGTCACACTACACCCTTTTAACTATCTCCATTAAAAAAAAACCTTAATTCTTCGCTGCGATTTGCTGTAAAAGCCGGAAAAACAAACAGATATTTTTTCCCATTTATAATATTAGTATGGAATGTTAAATTACCTTAGAGAAGGCAGCAGAAAATTACATACACCTATTGGTTTTTCCAGGTTAACCGCTTTTGATTTTCGGGTTTTCTTAGCAATTGATAGCTGTATAGCGTTTGTTGAGTTACTTTTGAAGGTCACACGGCCTTATTAGACCATTCAAATTAAGAGCAAAATATCATTCCTCAATCCATGTAAACTATTCACTTTTAATTAGTAATTTTAACGTATTTCCTCAATGAACAATTATAATATTAACACAAATAAAAAGTTCCAAAATAAAGCTTTATAGCCTACAAACAAATACAGGATTAATTGAATTCTAAAAGAATTAACACAAAGTCTTCATGATACAAAATTATTTGTAAAATATATTTCAAAATCATATGGCAGATGCATGTCAAAGATGTGTCAACTCGATGGATGGGGGATGATTGAAAAAGGTTTGTTTTAGACGTATAGGAAAAAGGTTGACTTTTTTTAAATTCAAATATCGGTGATCGAGTGGTTGCGAAGCCAAGCACGAGGTTTTTGCTTTGATTCTAGACTATATCAAAGAAGATTAAGATTAATAACTTTAAAAACTCTTAAATATAATATCTTCAAGCAACCATTCCCGGTGTGGTGAGTTAGTGAGTCTCAGTCTGCCATCTTTATGTGTTATAATTACATTATTTCGGCAGGTGCCATAGTCATCCACAGTTCCCAATTTACCGGTTCACAGCAACCCATCCATATCCCTACCTTTTTTCCATTATCTACAATATTTCTTCACTAACCGGGGACAGTCCTTGTGTGCATTTCCGTAGTGCATTCAGGGATAGTCGCCGGTTTCTGTGTCCATTACTTTTATATTAAAGTCGTCTAAAGGGCATTTGCGCACGTTTCGGTCTCTCGTACGCCTCCCAATTGACCGGGACCCTGTGGTCCCGTGAATGATAAAGATATAGTTTAAAATTGTGCCTGGTATTCTAACGAACACAAAGAAACCTACTTAATATACCTAACTACTTATATGTATAAGTACATGACTTGCATACTATTTCAGTTATTTCGCATACGTGCAATATGCATGTATTATACACATACAACTTCCTTAAGAATCACTCTATCTATCTATTAAAACAACCGCATCAAAATCCGTTGCGTAGTTTTAAATATCTAAGCATACATAGGGACAGACAGACTGATGTTTAAAAATGTTTTATACTATGTAGTGATTGTCAACAAAAAATAATAAGAAAACCTCAGATGACCTTTCCTTTCATAAAGAAGAAATCAATCAATAATATGACCTGAATAAATGTTCCTGAAAGCTAAATAAACACGTACTTAGATTTATATCAGCCCATTTGTCTGCCATTCACATAATTGTACAGCAATTACAAATATATGTCCATCTTATTGCCGGATGGCCCATAAATTTTAATGGCCTGTGAAATCGTGCCGGCTTTGGCCCGAACCCTAACACCGTCCCATTGGGCCCTCATTATTTTGGCCCAGGCCTTATTTATCGATTTATTTGGGTCCGTAAGGTTTATTTTTCTATTTGTATGCGCATATTAACGGCTTTTTCAATGTTTTCCTTCCTGGTAAAATATTGAGTTAAGGTGTAAGTTATTTTGAGTTGTAAGTTACGTAAATGACATGACTGTATGTTTGGTAAGATGTGTAGAGAAGTGTAAATTATTTTCTAGACTAGCGTTTCACACGCTTTGCTAAGCTCCTATTGGTCATAGCGTGATGTTTTATAGCCTATAACCATCCTCGATAAATGCACTATCCAACACAACAATAATTATTCAAATCAGACTTATAGTTACGGAGATTAGCGCGTTCAAACAAACAAACAAAAAAACAAACTCTAATATAAGATAAGTTCTCATCGTCATCTACAAGATGTTCACTGATGAACGAAGCCTTCGCCCAATTTCGAGGTGACGGCGAACCGCAAATTATCTGTGTCCAACTCGAAACAGAAGTTGGAACGAGTTGGTTTTTAGGTTTGACACTCCTTCTCGCCTCAAGGCAGGAGTAGTCATTAGGTGATTTTCTCCCCTCAGAAAAAGATCTCTCTTACTGACTCCATTAAATTCGGTTTTTGGTAACTATACATTGCCATGTTTCATAGTAACAAAACTTTTTAATAGACATGTTACGTATCGGTGCCGACACATGTACCTACACCGTGATCAACGCGGCAACGCCGTGTCATGAGGCTCAGATGTACTGAATCAGGACATTACACCTACTTTGATGCAACGAAGGTTCTAAGGAGTATTGCAACACCCAAACTGCTGAGTCGTCTCCTCATGACGCCGCCTCGTGCCCAGCTACGAATCGCTGCATCATCAATCATCCCACTAAATTGAACCTCAATAGGTTTCAATGAAAATCTTCTTTCGAAATAATTTTTAGACATGAAAGCAGTGTTGTTCCATCATCGAACGCATTCGCTCTTAGGTTAGTTAGATTTTAGGAGTTATCATGTAATTTTCATAAATATAATAAAATGATTGTAGTTTCCATTTGCACCCTCTGTCGGTGGCAGAAACATTACTAACAGTTAAATTTAAAAACAATATATAAAATAAACAAGAAACTGGTGGGCCAGTCCCAGTAAATTTTAATGGTCTGTGAAACTGCCAGTTCACGGCTCGGAACGGAATCCGAATCACAATTCATGCAATTATTTCCAGCCATCCCATTTTATATAGATACTCTTATTTGTCATTATGAACATAAATTCACATTTTACGTTCGTTTTTCTGTTAAGAAAATAGATAAGATGAACTTAGAACAAATGTGTATTGTGTAATACCTATTTATTCATTGTTATTTTTCTATTTAACTGACTTGTGCGAATGAGCAAGTTACTGGGATACAACGCGCAAAGTATTCTATGCATTATTTCAGAATGTACACAATCTATCTCTGTCACACTCAGGCAGTGTGACAGATTTGGCACAATCACAATCTGTTCAGTACTTTTATTTGAACTGATAAATTGACTAATATCAATAAATTTATGTATAGAATAGATTAGTTAATTAACAATCCTCAAATTCCTAATCCCCAAAAGGCCGGTAACGCAATTGTACCGCCTCTGGTGTCCCATGTGTCTATGTGCGACACCGATTACTTACCATCAGGTGAACCTGATGGTCTGCTCGTTTAGAGACTTATCCCATAAAAAAATTACGATGGGAAATAAGAACAAGATTAGTGTCTACACTATAAATACAAACCTGTGCGTTTAGCCAAACGCCACTTCAGCGTTTGTCTACAGAGAGACTAGAAATCAAAATGTATGGGGATGACAGTGACAAGTGGCAAAGTTTACGTCAATTTCATATAATGGATTTCTATTCTCCATGTAGACAAGCGCTAAAGTGGCGTTTGGCTAAAGGCACTGGATATCTTCTTAAACAGTCATGATATGATAACAAAACACTCGAATACAAAAACTTTGTTTATTTCGTTGACTTTGCTTACAAAGTCAAAGTCAAAAGCAAATTGGACATAGTCAGTAAAAACTTGTAAACTTGAAATGTTGAATGCAAGCTGTTTGCAAACATCTGATTTTGGGTCAAGGTCATTCAATATTCGTTTGTTTGTTCACCGAATTGGGTTGTTTTTGTAATTTTTATTATGTAGAATATTTTTACTTCGATAATGGTTTGGGTACCTATGTTATATTAATTGGACCACTGCAGTATTTATCGTGCAATAAAAATATTCGTACTTTCGTCTTGGAAAACACTTAATCGGGCTACTGTTCATTATTTACCTTGCATTGGTATTTTAAAGTTTTATAACTATTCAGTCATTTCACTTTAAAAATACTTATTTCCTATATATTAATTTATCGTGCCGTCCGTCAAATTGTCGATATTCTGATCCTAATAGTTTCACCTAGCTTCACCTAGTTTCACTAACGGACTGACTGACAGACTATTATTTATTTTTTATTTGTTGACGTTTCAAAAGTACCAAACTATGGTTTAATTGAAATAAATGCTTTGACTTTGACTTTGAATAATACTTTGCGCGTTCCGAGAATCAAACCTGATACTTCACCAGTCGCAGTTGCAGTCGGTCTACTAACAAGTCAGTCATCTTTTTTTTCAATTCATCTTCCACAAATATTTTATGTGATGTTCAAATTGTTGTTTCGGGTCTGAGTGTGATGTGTGTATCTATACATGTGAAATTGTATGTTTTTAAACGTATTGCATCTAGAACATAAAAATCCCAGTATAAGACAAGAAGACAACATGTCGCGGAGAACCTAACGGGTTACCGGAGCTCCAGCTCGACGTGCAGGAGAAGGAACGAGATGGTTTTTAGTCAGTAAGAGTCTGACACTCCCTCCTGCCTCACCCAGGCGGGAGCAGTCTTTCGATGATTTTCCCTGCTTAAAAAAAAGTATAAGACAACATATATAAATAACTAGCTGACCCGGCAAACATCGTAGCACCTATCATTTTGTTTCTCACCTTTTAAACCTTCCCCGGACTTCCTAAATAGCCAAATCGGTTTAGCCAGTTCTCGAGTTTTAGCGACACTAACGAACGGAAATTCATTTTTATTTATATTGTTTATAAGTATATCCCGATTTCTCTCCAGGTGCTAAATATACTTTAAACTGTCGAACACCGCGAGGACACCGGTGATCACAACCTATTGTTCTTTAATTCTGAGTAAAGTCTAGCAAAATTACCTTCAAAATTGAACAATCAGATCAGAGTTAGACAGACTATTGTTTCTCCGATATTAATGCCATTTGATAGCATTGTGTTAGAGGTTCAGCCGGAATTAATTGACTAGCACTGAAATGATCTGAAATACTAAGTTCATTTGGGTTTTGGACTAGACTGTGTTATGTAACGAGCGAATTCTAATTGTAAGCACGAAAGCATGCTTAAATTAAGCACTTGTCCTTAGTAGCTGTAAAATAATGTTACTAACTTAATAGAAGTAAGTGTGGCAGAGCCATGCTTCGACACGAATGGGCCGGCTCGACCGGAGTGACACCACGGCCTCACAGAAAACCGACGAGAAACAACGCTTGCGTTGTGTTTCGTAGTGTGAGTGAGGTTACCGGAGGCCCAATTACCCCCCCTCCCTAGTCTCCCGAATCCCTGAATCCTCCACAATTCTTAAATTCCCAATTCCCAAAAGGCCGGTAACGCACTTGTAACGGCTCTGGCGTTTCAAGTGTCTATTGAAGGCGGCGCTGATTGCTGACCATTAGGTGATCCGTCTGCTCGTTTACCGGCTTATGCCATAAAA